AGGCTATTACTATTATACTACCGGTATACAGATATTACCATACTAATATTAGTAATAAATTTGCCCTTTTTTTATAATTAATAGTGAAAAAAATTCGATAATAACTCATGACGGTTCAGTATACTAATAGTAATATTAATATTAATAATAATAATAATAATGAAGTTCATTTCAAAAACACGCTTCATCCCCAAAGGCTCGAAGCGCGGTACAATGTCAACAAAATACAAATCTATAATTTACCACATTTAAAACAAACGCAACTCTACAAAAACTAATTACTAGCATACAATTGCAAAGTCTTTCTAGCCATTTCAACCCCAATATTAATAGCCTACATCCAACAATAATTTTTCACCAGTCTAGATCTAATGCATTATATGATTATTCGCAGATTTCGGTCTGCCGATAACGCTAAACATTATTCACAGAGCTGTGTGGATAACGCTCGCCGTTATTCACAGATTTCGGTCTGCCGATAACGCTAAACGTTATTCACAGAGCTGTGTGAATAACGCTTCCCTTATTCTTTTTGCATCTTTTGCATGATAATATATAATATTAATAATATGATAATTTCGCCAAAATGACGTGAGACTGCGGTAACTCATTGACAGACGCAGGCCCATTATGAATGTTTATTTAATTTTTGTTTTCCCAATGCGTTCATAACAGTGGGAATTTAGCGCATGCGTTAAACACTGTGTAGTTTCCAATATTTCGGTTATCAGACTTGTGCATAATGGGAGTCGCTTAGTCACTTCCTTGTTTGGTCACGTGATATGAGTAAGTCATCACTAGGCTGCAACACACAACAAAAGATACTTCATCAGTGCTTCCCCAATGTTATGTTCATTAAAAATTTTACCTTTCGTAATATTATGGAATGCAAGCGTTTTTTAAATGAAATACATAAATGTGACAATAAATATACGTCAGTTATAATTAAAGGAAGAAAGTTATTTCAAGAAAAATTTGTGATAATGTGACAATAAATATACGTCAGTTATAATTAAAGGAAGAAAGTTATTTCAAGAAAAATTTGTGAGCGATATTCGATGGGAACTATCAATACTATTATCGGCAGGATGTTGTTGAGCTCCGTGCGTGCTCATGACGTCATTTGCGTTTTTATTCAATATTGATGCAGGAGTCATTCCCCTTTGTTTATTTTATTGTTAATTTTCATTGGACGAAATGTAGTGTAGTTGTAGTGTGTATCGGGCTACTGTTGTCAAGCACTAGTGTGTTGTATACAATATACCGGAAATCTTACTCGTTTTTACTCATATCACGTGACAAAATAATTGACTAAGCGACTCCCATTACATTTAAATGTAAATAATTACCATTAGAATTACATGACCCATTTTTGTAATTATCTACAATTTCCATTACTTCATTCAAAAGTGTAATTAATTACCATTAAAATTACTCCACTTTTGACCTGTAATAACAATTAATTTTACATTTACAACATTTTTATATTGGGAACTTTTTAAAATTTGTTGCAATAGCTTTAAACATCAACATTGTTGTACTAAGAAATGTTTCCTTTCTCAGTGCAGTACATGCACATTATATGGAACCAGCTTTTGGATTTTATAGGTATACAAGAAATTCAGAGTTGTTCACTAAATGATTTTACTGTATATCTGAATACACAATCACATTTTGTAGCAGACCCCTTTAAAATGTCAGTGATTGTCTTCTATGTGTATGAACAAGCATGACATAATGTACATTATAATTTTCAGTAATATAGAAAATGGCGCTCCAGTTATCATGTTTGCAAAAAAAAATAAAGATTGGGTTTTTGAGCAGCTGATTGAGAAAAAGCAACGACTATGTTGCATTTTCCTTTGCTTTCGATGATAATTTATATTAAAGTTTATAAAGTTTAATGTTCCGCTATTATTGAATGTTATCGTGCTTGGCCCGCAACCTTACAAGTGTTTTGAGTTTTCGCCTCTGAGCAATTGAGTCTGACACTCCTGTTTTAGAGTGATCTAGGTTGCCACTAGCGAGTGACAGCGGCTTCAGTAGCGGCCTCTATAGAGATCTAGGTGCCGTCGCCACGTTGCTCCCCTGAGACCTTGTCATTTTGTCACCTTGTCATTTTGTCACATTGTCGTTTTGTCACCTTGTTGTTTTGTCACTTGTCGTTTTATCCTTTGTCATTTTGTCACTTGTCGTTTTGTCATTTGTCGTTTTGTCATTGAACCCATCAAAACGTAGTATTGTTAGTAGTAACTTAAACTAGTAGTATTATAATTAATAAAATACATGACTGATGACATTGTAATTAGTATAAATTATAAACTATAATTTAAATACTTAATTATAATAATTCATTTCAAAAGGCAATAGGCATAGGCTAAATGATGGAATAACTAGTTAAGAAAAACTGTTTGTTTTTAATTTTTATTATATTTTATATTATATTCATACATTTAATTTATTGAAAGGAATAACCTAATAGAATAGTATATTATTAGTTTGAGTTTGACTATGTTTAATGCCCCATCTGATAGTCAACAGAAGTTAATGATGGGAGAATGTGGTGAGTGTAATTAGTAATGTGGTGAGTGTAACTAGTGTAAGTAAATCATACCAGTACATGAGATTGAATGATACATAAAAAATTCATGACATGATATTCTGATACTGATGTCTTTATCTTTTTTTTTCTTTTCATTATTTTCAGAAATTTCTGAGATCAAAACATCGTCATGAAAGTAATGCAAATAACAAAGAGGAGTTTCCTCTCCTTGCATGTGAGAAAATAAAAAAAGAACCAGAAAACTTTGAAGCCAGTCTAGACAATGATTTGTGTGAGTTGGGAAATGCTGAAAT